AAGCCAAATTTTTACCAAGATATGTGGATTACCAGTTACAGTAAAAGCACTAAATAATTCATATATATAAGTTTTGAAAATACAATATTTTACTTTAGCACCATTAATATATTTTAAGAACATCGAGCAAACTTTAAAGCTCAGGACACCAAGCTATTCCAYTTGACCTTCTTAGCCTGACAGAACTCATTAAATCCCAATCACTGCCTACAATACACCTATCCTGATCTAAAAAAGTATMATTTTTCTATATACAGTTTGTAAAATGTACATTAGTGAAAAAAAATGTAGGTAATGTACATTTAATTTCTACATTAAGGTTAATGTTTCTTACATCAGATCATTCAAAGAATCATACGACAGAATCAAGAGTCATTTAGGCTGGAAAAGACCCTTAAGATYCTCTAGTCCAACTGTTAACCCAGCATAAACCCATCATTAAAACATGCTCCTAAGCATCAYATCTATATCTTWAAATAYTTCCAGGGATGATGACTCTACCACAGCCTGTTCCAAGGCCTGACCATCCTTTYAGTGAAGAAATTTTTCYTGATAACCAATCTAAAACTTCCCTGGCACAACTTGAGACTATTCCATCCTACTACCTGTTACTTCAGAGAAGACGCCCAGAAATGTGAAGTCCCTAGCTTGCAAGAACTTACAAAACTTATGATTACTCTGACTTTCTGAAAAAGTCTGGATAAAGAGCAGTAGCCCATATCAACTTACAGAATTTGTAAATAAAATACCTTATGTTTTTCTTCTCCTACTGTAATTAGTTATCAATTCAAATTGTCCCAAACTCAAGACACAAYATGGACAAGTCATCACAAATTCTTCACAGGGATTTGAAAAATATTACCAGCATTTATGTGCTCTGTAAAGTATAAAGGAAATTACAATGTGATATTTTAATGTCCTCTTGCTGAACATACAACCACATGGGGGTCATTTGATGAAGATTTTCTTTAGCTTCCATCAAGCTCACATTCTTACATCTTTCCGATGATCTGGGGAAGTATATTAAACTTAGGTTGTACTTTAATGGAAAATAAAATTTATTCATTCAGGCCTCTTCACTAATGGGGTGTAATTTTTGCTTTTTTAGTTGCTGCAGTTCCAGTCTTGAGAGTATAAAGGCCAGAAAAGAAGCAACTCCCTTTCAAACTTTCGAGTGTTTTTTTGGTGCATGTAGTCTTCAGACTGCCCTGACAAGTTCCCTCAGCAACAGCATATCCAAAATGACAGTCAGCCCTCCCAGAGCATCAAGAGTATGGTTACCACTCTTCCAGTTCATAAACTACCCAAGTCCTCTCTTTTCCCAGTCTCATCTCAAACATCTGTAGTATGAAAACATTGTAAATACTACACACGCTACCAGTTTCATTCAACTTGTAAAAACTATAAAACAAAAYAAAAACCCTTACCACATAAACCCTCCAAAGAGACATGAAATTGCAAGTTTATGAGAAGTGCATACTATTGGTATAATATGCTCCTTGAGCAACGCACACATAAACAAACCTCTCCCTCTCTCCCTCAGAACTGCAACYTACAGCCCTCTCAAACACCCAGGTTGTTTTTTCCAAAGGCTGGTTCCCAAAGGTYCCCAAAAGATTGGCTTTCCCAAACTTGGTCCATTACCCTTAGGGARCAGATCACCCACACAGACTCAGGAAATTAAAAATGGTTTTTCTCTTCTCCTTGGATTGTTTTAAGCCTAAGGAAAAGCAGAACTGKCTCAGTGTTGAGTATTCCATACAATTCAGCTTCTTCCACTGAGTCTCAAAAGAAAACGGGCCACATGGGTACCTAACAGAAATTAACACACAAACACCAATTAAAGCTATCATGATGTATCATTTATTTCAGACTTTTTTGTGTGAGTGTGTGCGTGTGTCAAGGGACATTTCCTGACCACCTCTCTTCAAAAGCTGTTCATCTATGCATAGTTTGAATAGCTTTTCTTACTCCTTTGAGAGGTAAAACAGTCATGGTTTATGAAACTCTCTTAACAAGAGGGAACATACATGGAAATCTGATGTGACAATACTGGTGAAGCACCCTTATGGGAGAACATCAATGAATCAAAAGTCATACTATCTACATAAATAACAACAAACCCTTTCATGACCACAGAACCTCCACTTTCCCCAACCTCCTAAGCAGTCTTTCCAAATGACAGTAAGACTGGAACTTTTAAAGCTGGTATTTAAAGAGACATGTCAATCATGACTATCTTAAGAGAATTGTGTGACTGTTCTCTGACTTTTAAATCAGAGATAAAGATTTTCATTCCATCCCTGTTTGCACATCACATTACACTCTGTTTATTTGAGCTTCATATAGGAGTAACTACCTAGATATTACTGAAAGTGCCAAATACCTTAGTTTTCAGATTTTAATATTATCTGGTTTTGAGACTCTGCTGAGATTTGAACCAATGTGCTCTGTTAACCCTGACCGATCAGTCATTCTTTATATTTAAGCCCACATAACCCATGCACTGAATAAGTAAAATAATAAGAGCTTGAACAGTTAGTTTCTGAACAAAGCAAGGGAACTGTCTTCACTGAAGTGAGCACTTACACAACTGGTTAGCACAATGCATACACATGCTCTCACTGTAGAATCCAGCTTTTATTCAGTTCACTGGTTTACATCTTTAGGACTTTGTCAGGTTTTAATGTYCAAACATAGATGTGGGATCTGTAGAAATACCCACGGAACTAGCTCGATTCTTATGTCAGGTATTTGTTATAGTTGGCTTACTGAACTGCAAATTTCCTTTGGTGAGACTTACCGAACAAGGGAGTCTTTGTAGAAGGCGGCAACACTACCCTTTTTATCTGAGCTTACAGAACCTGTAATTTGGGAACTGCAAATTTACAGCACTGTGAKATTTCCTTTTGCACTCCTTATAACTTCCAATCCTGGGCCAAATTCTACCTTCACCTATGCCCAAGCAGTCACATCTCAAACTGCAGTTTGTAGAACAAATACCTCAGGCAGTCTCAAGCTGCCCATTGTTCAGTTAGAGGAGCCACAAATGCTCCAACAAGAATGAAATACATTTGAGTTCCATGTACATTTCGTGTTAATTCCAGTCTTTTTCAGAACTGGAGATTCAATGCAACAGATATGCTGGTTCTGCCAACACAAATAAACTGAACTTGCTGATGGCACGGGAACAGCACGATGCTCTTCTCCATGCCCAGCACTGTCGATGCAGAAGCAAAGGGGAGTGGCTGCTTCAACAAAGCCGTGCTGCCAAATATCTGTACATGGRGCTGCTGCCCAGAGTCTCTCTCGGAGCAGCCTGAAGACATTCGAAGAATCCAGGTGGTGCTGCACTGGTTATCGTAACCAAATGTAAAAATCACAAACAACACTAATGATAACAAAACATTTCATGTGTTCATTCACAGAAAAACAAAACAAAACACTCTTCTTGCTTCAGCTGTGGCTGTAGCCTGTAAAGTGATTATGTATGAAGGAAAGAATTCAGTGTGCCTTTCAGCTTTCATGAATTAGCAGAGGTTTCAAAAGAAAAGGAAAAAACAAGGTCTATCTCAGTTACAGTCTGCCCAATCTGAGAGCTGATGTCACAATAAACACATAACCCATGACGTATCACCCATATATATTTTCACTATCAAGCACAACAAAGACAGCAAGCATCCTTTGGCACAAAAGACCCATGCAMAACCTCCCCCCTGTGGCATTCCGTTCTGATGCATTATTTGCACTAGCGTATACCCAGGAACTACACTCATGAGCAAGCACAACACTGCATTCAGGCACAGAACCATYCTCTTCATAAAGTTTCAATAAGCCTTTCAATTTAATTGCACTGTATAAAAAAGAATCTGGGATACTACACACAAGATATCATGTTCCCTAAGAAATTTAATAATATATTTTATTTTTTCCTATTGACATTTAGTATGGTTTTGAATTCAAAATACGAAGCCAAAAAAGCAAAATAAATTATCCTGTGAAAGTTAACAAATTATTCCATTGTTTTTAATAGCACTGGGCAAATTCTACTGAATTAGGCATGAATTTGTCACATATGGAATAAAGAACTTAAGACTAATACATTGTTCCCTTTGTAAATCAGTTTTAAAAGTTACATGTTAGCATTTTAAATCAACTCCAGACTTAAACTTGGAAATGCCAATTATTCCACAAGCAGAAAATAATAAAGACGACTGACAACCTGCTTTTCTGACCACTGCTAGCTAAATAGGATCCTTTATGAAACACTTGACTAACCTGCTTGCTCCGTCTGTCAACTGCTGTACTTTTTAAGGTACGCTTGCACAAACTCCTCTCAGCCTGCACGCATCCAACCTGATGYTCGGGGCTTTGGGAAGCAATTCCACAATGTGCGGGGTTACCCACAGTTACCTGAGCCTTTTTCACCCGAAGACCGTAGCACCCGGGAACTGTCAACATGCACGTTATCCCAAGGTAAACAGAAGACAATCTTCTCGTAGCTCTATCCCTACTTAACCCTACCACTACATGACATGTAAACGACGAAAAGCAGTGTTACCATCCCCAAGAACTGTCCGTCCCTGGCTTGGGACCCCCGGACCGCTCCGGGTGCCGCTTCACGGGGCGTTGCAGAAGGGTGAATTCAGGACTCGCAGCACCCTGGAGCGCGATACTCCCGCGGGTTCCCGGGGAGCAACCGCGGCTCCCCAAAGGCTGGAAGCGCCCGGGGTGGACAGTTAAATCACGGGCTGGCACTGGCGGTGTGAGGTTTGGGCAGGGGCCGGCCGCTCCAGCCCGGCTCTCCCTGCAGGTASCGTCCGCCCGCCAGCTCGGCCCGCCCGGCCGTGTGCCGGTGGCTGTCAGGGCTGTGCCCCGCGGCAGCCGCCCGGCCCCGGCGTGCCCCCCGCCCACGAACGGCCCCCGCGCCACAACCAAACCCAGCCACAACCCCAACCAGCCGGGGCACGGCCAGCAGCCCCAGGCGCTCGGACACTTACAGCGCTGGCAGAGTCCCGGCACGGCCGCCAGCAGCCGGGCCGCCCCGAGCAGGGCTCCGGGGCCGCGCTGGCACCTGGGCACGGAGACGATCCCCGCGGTGAGGCACGCCAGCAGCGGCACCCACATCATGCGCCGTGGCCGGCACCGCTCCCGCTCCCTCGCCCTCTTCTCGGAGCCGTGTCTCGGCGCCGCGGCGCTCTCAGTCCCGGCCCCCGC